GTTTGTACTGTACCACGCGTGAACTCACTTGAACCCTGCTTCCTCACAGTTAGTTGTCTTCATGTTTAAACTATATCGAATTCATAGGTTCATTTAATGACTTCTTTCTGATTTTCCGAAGTGGTATTAAGTTCTCCTAGTTGAATACAAATCTCCTTAGTTTTAATTTGGAATAGACGGATACTCAATGAGTCGATCGCTTGCTACTTCCGAGACTCATGTTTCCAAAAATATGCTGAGGTCGCTAATCTGCCAAGAAAATCCGCAACATTCTCATCACTTGATCGTGCAAGGCCTGTGACTTATTGTTGAGGGCTATCTTGAATTCGTTGAGTTTCACGGTATCCCGAAGAAAGACCGTATTAAACTTCTGTGATGTTGTCTGCCCTGTTATCCAGCGCCTCTTGAGTTTCAGTTTCATTTTGGCGACCAGCAAGTGGTGATCTGAGGCTAAATCAGCTCCTCTCTTGGTTCTCGCGTCCTACATCATCCTTCTGAACTTTCTATTGATACAGATCTGGTCGATTTGGTTCTGAGTAGTGTGGTCCGGTGAAATCCTTGTAGCTTTGTGAATGCGTATGTGTCGGAATACTGTGCCACCGATGACTAGTTTGTTGAAGGCACATAAGTTTGCAAACCCCTCACCGTTTTCGCTACCTTCTACCAGTACATGTCGTCCCATGATGTCTTCATATCTAGTGTTGTCCATGCCGACCTTGGCATTTAGGTTTCCTATCAGAATCATCAGATCCATCGGTAAGCATCTTTCGACGAACTTTTTCGTGGAATCGATCTCTAATGTCGTCATTGTAGTAATTGGTGGGGGCATAGCATTAGATGACGTTCACTGTAAGGTAATCTTCCTTTGTTCTGAAGGATGCTTTAATGGTCCCGGGTCCTTGAGATTCCCATTCTATCAGTGCCTTTTGTGCTAGTTTGGACAACCCCTTGTGTATGTGAAGCATTTTCCTCTTCGTGGCCAGATTATAACAGCAGTTCCCCTGAAGCTAGTCTCAGTTGTCCTACCTGCGTCTAATGCGTTTCACTGATCCCAAGCAACCCTAGGTTGTATTTTTCCATTTCTGAGCGACTTGAAATCATCTTCCAGTCTCCCAAAATGTTTAAACGTTCCAGGTACCTAAAAGAATAGTTGTTCTGGTTGTCAGAAAGGTCATCTGCCTCGTGACTTTCGAGAGAATCGGGCTTTCACCATGAAACGTCTTAATTCTTCTGAAAGAAGACCTTATAACTCCAAGGGCAAAGTGGTTGTTCGAATTATGTTTTCTGGTTAACGAGTTAGTTATTTAGCGGGATGTGGTCACCAACCCCACGCCCAACCCTCCTCCCCTATCCGGGCTTGAGACCATCATTTGCTCCAGAGGGGCTGAAGACGGAGGTAGTCCAGACGAGATGAAAAGTGGGTTTTACTGAAAGCTCTCTAAACTTCTCCAAAATGTTAAGCGCTCTGGTATAGTAATAATGGCTGGCGATTTCAATGCTCAAGTAGGTAGATTAAGTGAAAGGAAAGACACTTTGGTTTATCTTATGGTGTCGCAGCTCAGAGAACAGATAATGTTACAACTATGCGTAGATAATCACATATTTCTTGCAGACACCTACTCTGAGCATAAGGAAAAACATCCTTTGACCTGGCGACCCCCAAAGCCGACCCAACTAGATGACATCGCTATAAGCCATCGGTGGAGAGGCTCTATCGAAGACTGCCGCTCATTCTGCAGCATTTGTTTAGACTCAGACCATACCCTAGTGCGAGCGCGTATTTGCTTGCGACTTAGTGGACGAAAGAAAAACACCATAAGGAAACAGTTTAGGGTTCTACTTCATGAAAGCATAGCTAGAAATATATATCAAGAACTACTAGAAAAACAGTTAGGCTGCCATCCAAGTGTTTCCCATAAGGAGGCAGCTTGGAATGATATCAAAAAAACTGGAGAAACAGCACTGATATCTGCTGGCAAGGTAAACCGTAAGGTTAAGATGAAGCTGTGGATCTCAGTAGCATCCAATCAACTTATAGACGCTCGGAAACGCATCCCACCTGGCTCTGATCATGATAAAGAGCGTAGTCAGCTTAAGCGCACGCTGATAAAAAGCCTACGCAATGATCGCGAACAGAGGTAGTTGGCAAAAGCCAGAGCGATGGAAAAGGCAGCAGCGATAGGCAACAGCAGAGAGTTGTCCCACCTTATCTAGGAAACCGATATTAAGAATCCGAATGTGAGTGAGACTATCTCAGAAAACGATGAGACTACTACCCATTCTCTATCCGGGAAATTGGATCAATGGGCAGAACAATTTGGCGATCAGGTTAGCTGGCCTTCAGGCATATTTCGGTTGCACACGGTCTCCAATCATCCCGAATAGCAAATCGATTTAAGTCCCCCGACTCTTTATGAAGTTAAGAAAACTATAAAAAGTCTGAAGCGAGCTAGAGAAGCAGGTCCTGATAGGCTAAATACCGAAATTTTCAAGGATTGTGGTCCAGTTTTAGCAACTAGATTAACTGATATCTTTGGTAGAATCTAGGAACTGGACGAACTCCCATCCAACAGGTCGCAATCACTGATTGTCCCAGGGTATATTGAAGGACAAAAGTCCCCTTGCGACAATCACAATAGAATCAGTCTAACTAATATAGTTCCCAAATTGTTAGCCTCGATAATCCTTAGACGCTTGACTGGTTTCCGACCTGTATGTGGATGTATAGATCACATTTTTACACTACATTTGACTCAGTGGATCGCGAGGTTCTGTGGAAGTGTCTATTATTAAAACGTGTACTTTATACAAGCTCTCTTCTCGAACACTACAGGTCCAGCGTGTGCTTATGACGAAGTGTCATCAGAACTGATTGCTTAAAGTGCGCCCTCAGCCCCTTATTCCAATCCCTAAATAGTAGTCTGCATATTTTCCGAAGACCTGGTTACTTTACCCAGGAGCCTGTAAATTTATTATATGAAGAATATCAACCACATCTAAGCCCATTAACCTCCTCGATTCTTGTTATATCCAGACCTGGCTCTCCCTTGCATTGTTTCGCAGTCATCAGCAGTTCATCGTAACGCAACCGCTGTAACTGGCGCCAATTATTCGCACTGTACATTGCAGAGTCTACAAAATTATCCATTATTTTGTGTAAAAATTTTGGCTTTTATATGAAGCCAATTTATATTGTGAAATATTTCAGTAACTGAACAAGGTTCTATAAAAAATATATTAGCAATCTTAACATTTTGATCTTGCTTGTAAATTGGCATGCCCCTTGCAACATTTTGTTATTTCAGAATAAATTATTATATTCATGTGATTTGAACTGACAATTGCGCCTCTGTACTAATGTGGTATGGTAGCCTGAACCAAAGTACGTACGTACGAAGTTAAACGTTATAAATGACTGACTTACTGGGGTGATATTATTTGGTCTGTAGATTTGGATTAAGGTTTTTCTGCCTACATTTATGTTTAGTACAACATGAGTTGACTTCCATGTTTTGGGGTATAAACCGGCCTCTAGGAACCATGCAAATATTCTGATCGAAAGTGCTGTAACGTTCGATCCCGCCATGTCAAAGAATGGGGTTGTTACTTCATCTGCACCACAGCTGGACTTGGGTTTTAGGGTTTTAATGGCTGTCTGAATACTGCTAAGGTCAAAGTTGATTATATTGAGATTATTCTTACCGCTAAAGTTCAGATTAATATCAGAGGTAAGAGATGTGTTTAGATTAACATTTCACAAATAACAGGGTGGTCTTAATAAGCCTCTCCATCATGCAGTATAAAATGAAAGTTATGATCTAAGTTCTTTTTTATGAATTTTATCTTGACTAACCACTGTATTGACTACTTCAACACGACAGGTTAAGCAGTGATTTGGTTATATATATACACGTCACGCTGCTGTCTTTTTTCTCTCTCTTTTCTCCCTTTCCAGAACCCTATTCAAGGTCGAAAATCTGTGGCGACTCTACTGAACATGCACTCTATGTACATGCATGTCTGGATGACAGCTTGTATCAAGCGCTTTCCAATTGACCTTTCCTAGCAAATCTACTTTTGGTCTCAGAAAACCGCCTAAGGAACTGATTGTGCACCTTCCGTATTTGTACTCTCCTACTAAAAATGTGGCTGTATCATACTGGTTCTGTCAGTGACATGGTGTGAATTTGCTATCAGAAACTGACTCTTATTTTTAATTTGACTGCGATATGTTTCACAGTAAATGTGAAAGCATTTGTGACAATTTGATGTCTGTCGATGCGTCACCACCACTCCCTTCGAGGTAATCCTCGAAAAATTGCGAATCGGAAAGCGAAATACTTAGGTTAGTGCACACTTTTTCCTATTAACAGTCGTCGCGACTTGGAATGCTCTCCCAGCCAAAGTGACCACAACACCGTAAGTGGACAACTTTAAGAAGAGACTTGATTATCATCTCCCTCGTGTACAAGCTGTGCCTGATGCAGGTCTTGAGAATTAATAGCTGTTATGATTGCCATCTCCTCATATCACTAACTTAATCTATATCGGTTTTTTGTGTGTCTGTTTTCTCTCCCTCGCCTACTCTTCGGTCTTCTCGCACAATCTTTACTTCCAACTAACCGATTGAATTAACTACTTATTTACTTCCTTTTGAAATCTTATTAGGATTTGAATTTTCTCCTTATTATTCTTCATATTGCAACTAACTGATTTTCGGCCTCATAATTTAATCGCTGCTGGTGTCGTGAAACCCTACTGCCCTGAAACAAATGTCTTCATTCAAACCACGGAACGTACAAACTGACAAACTGCCAACTGACTAAAATGAGACAGTCAAGTGGATAGACTCCCATCCAGTGGGCATTAGCAAACCCATAGAACCGTAGTGAGAGAACAAGAATTGAGAGCAAAGAAATCAAGTGCTTTTTATTAGCCCGTGAAAAAGATATTGGATAAGTTGAAGTCTGTTTGTTTGTATAATCCACTTGAAGTATCAGTAGTACTCTAATTACCATCGGTGGTAAATTGGAAATGTCTTCATCAGATCCTTATGAGTGTCTAGCGAATGAGAGTAAAATTATTGAGAAACATACCGAAAAAAGGCTGCAGAATGATCACCAAATGGATAATCTTATTCTTTTAGTCTATATAATCCTCCTAACTCTCTCTGTCATAACAATCTGGGCTTTTAAACATAGACGCTTCCGATATATCCACGAAACAGGACTTTCAGTGGTGTATGGTAAGCTAAAGCATTCAGTAAATTATTTTTAGGACTCATTGTCGGTCTTATACTCAGATATGCTATAAAATCTCAGAATTATTCTGTAGAGACGCATGTGTTTCCACGTAAAAATGATGAAGCATGTGGTGGTCGTTTACCACCAGAGAGGCTGATTATTGAGCTTCCTGTTCGTGACCAATACGGAAAGTTTAATTTAAGCATGTCGTTTCGGTACAAATTTGAACAACAATCAGATTTTGACTCTCTGATCAACAATAAGGTATTTTAATTTTAATTCTGATTATCAGGCTACGTTTGACCCGGAATTCTTCTTTAATGTTTTGCTGCCCCCAATAATTTTTTCAGCGGGATATAGTATGAAACGCGTATGTCTAAAATTTATCAAATTTGGTCTGTAGGGTCATTTTTTCAAAAACATTGGGGCTGTTCTTACCTATGCATTTGGTGGTACATTGATATCCGCGCTAGTTGTTGGGTAAGTTGGAATAAGCATCTTAATTTTTTGCAGAGTCGTCTGCTACGGCTTTACCCGTGGAATAACTTCACTTTCCCAAGCCTTACGTCTCGCAGACTGTCTTTTGTTTGGAGCTATAATATCTGCCACCGATCCTGGTAAGAATCTTTCATTATTTGTGATAGTTTAGTGACTGTTTTGGCTATCTTTAGTGACTTGAGAGTTGATGTCAACTTATATGCACTTGTTTTTGGCGAAAGTGTACTTAATGATGCATTAGCAATCGCTCTAGCTCAGTAAGTTACACTATATTCAGTTTCGTAACGTAATTTTATGCATGTGAAGCTAATATGCTGTCTTTCACTTAATATTCAGTACAGTGTATATTATTGGTGAAAGAATATGGTAAATTTTCTTTTGCAGGTCGATTGAGAAATATGGATCTCTGTCTGCTGGTAATTTTGATAGTCACGCTTTCCTTTCCTCCGTGTTAAACTTTTTCGTGATGTTTGGAGGTTCTTTTGTCACTGGCGTTTCTATTGGCTGTGTAACATCTCTTCTGACAAAGTTTACACATATTAAGGAGCATCCTCTACTGGAAACAGCTTTATTTGTTTTAATGTCTTACAGTACATTTCTTTTTGCTGAAAGTGTTGGATTCACAGGTTAGTCACTAATGTACTATATTTATCATGCTTCGATGAATCGTTTTAGTAAAGCTGGGTCAGTTCTCTTCATTTTTATTTAAAATAAAGTCTATTACCGGTAGACGGCTCATTGTGCTGAGATCACTAAAACTCTTGTTATGAGATTTATCATGATGTACAACTGTGATCAGATAACCGCCTATTTCTAACAAACACTAACTTTAGGCATAAGGAAAAGCATCTCTTGACATGGAGACTCCTAAAGTCGTCACAACGCCAAACCCAACTACATCATATCGCAATCAGCCACCTATGGAGAGGTTCGATAGAGGATTGTCGCTCGTTCTGGGGCAAAATTACGGGATATTTCAATGCACTCGGTTGTTTGGAGTGCGTCAGGCGACCTCCGACGCAGAGTAACCGATAAATCATTACCGGTGTTAATCCTCTTATACGTTCACTACTCTTCACTTTACGACTAACGTTGGATTTTTTAAGTAATTCTCCGTATACCTCCTTTTAACCATCATTAGAATTTTCCGTTTGGCTATTTCAAGCTCCTTGACCTTTAGGTAATCTCTCTTAACAGAACCTTCAATTCTTGGTTAGCGAAGTACTATACAGAGGTCTATGAACCCTCTGAGCCTCGCTACAGCCCTAACCAATTCTATCCATTCCGAGTAGTCAGACAAAATAGGTGACGAGTATTTCTTGTATTACTCAAATTGACCGCAGCTTTTCTGAACTCGACTTGGTCAATAGTAGGTTCTGGGTGGTTAGTGGTTATTTCTGAACTGCTATACAGCAGCGTAGGACATTTAAACCAGAATTCCAGATCCGTTATTTTTTGTATGCCTCCCGAAGACCGATCGGCCGGATTCTGCGACTAGCTTACATAACTCCATTGCTCAACACTGGTATACTGGTGGACGACAGCAAGACGGTTAGCTATATAGCTGGTGTACCACTTTTCGGTATTCTCAATGTAGTATAACGCCATCATGGAATGCGTATGGAAATTCACTTCACAGAAGAAGTTGGGCGGATTTTTCCATATAACCTCACTCAACCTTACACATAAAACCGCCGCCGCCATCTCTAATCTCGGTATCGCACCTTGCTTGATAGGTGCTACTCTAGACTTGCTGTACAACAAGATAAGGTAGGGTTGTGTCTTCATATAATTTACCCGAGCATAAGCAACTGCTCCGTAGCCAATCTCTGAGGCGTCGCTGAATAAGTGCAACTCCACCTTCGCGTTAGGTTCGTCGACTCTGTTCTTTATACCTCAAGCAACCTTATCATGATCCATCTGACGGATGAAACTCAACCAATCTAGCCTCGTGGACATGTATGGTTTGTCGAGAGGTTTATCCCATCCTATTTGAGATTTACATAAACTTAGGAAAAGTAGTTTGGCCGCAGGGCACACTGGGGCGATTAGACCCAAAGGATCGAACAGGGACGAAACAACCGATAGGATCCTTCTCCTTGTCACGGGCTTATCCCGTGCATCGAAGTGGAACTTAAATACGTCCCATGCGACATCCCATTCTATACCAAGCGTTTGATGAGTAACAGTACAATCCTCCGATACTCCTAACAATCAATCTTAATTACCTGTATCCGGCAATATAGACCTCACTTTCTCTGAATTAGTAACCAACCTTTTTAAGTTAAACCCTCCTCCACGTAACAACTCACTTATCTGAATGACAAACTTCCTGGCTTGGTCACAACTTGAAAAGGATATCAGACAGTCATCGACATAAAAGTTGTTCTTGACCGCATCCACAACATAACGTTCATAATCACTCGAGAAGCTTCGGGCTGTCTTATTCATTGCAAAGTTTGCACAAAACGGGGATGAAGTGGCTCCAAATGGGTGAAAGGTCATCTAAAATTCGAATGGTCCCTCAGATGTCTCCCCACCTTCCCACCACAAAGCCTTAAGGCTCCTTGATCACCCTCGAGGACCTTCACTTGCCTTAACATTTCCTCAACATCTGCCGATACCACGAATGCCTTCTTGCGAAAACGCAACAGTATACTCACCAGATCAGCGGTGCTGTCTAGTCCTCGATAGATCATATCGTTTAAGGAAATTCCTGTAAACTTGCCAGCACAGTCCAGGACCGCTCTCAACTTATCTGGTATTTTGGGATTCAACACGGGATGGTGAGGTAAATACCACCGAAGACAATAATCCTACTTCAAATGCAACTCAGGCACCCTTTGCGCATAGCCCTTGGAAACGTTATCTTCCATACTTTTGGCGTACCTAACACGCAACCTATCGTCCCTCATCAATCTTCACTTCAAGCTCCGTAGCCTATTACTAACTACCTCATAATTGGTCCATTTCGTAGAGGGGTCCTGTTTCCATGGTATCGGAGCTGCAAAATGGGCATCAACGAAGTGTGTACCTCTCTCCACAATTTCAATGGCTACCTGGTCTTCTACATACGCTGACTTGTCACTAGAATAGACATCAGCCAACTCCACATCATACAGCTTACGTATCTGGTCTTCCAAAACTTGCACGCTACTAATATGATTAACAACTCTTTTTCTATACTCGGGGTATGATGTAGGTCCGAATACAGTCCATCCAAGTAGTGTTTTTGCCGCATATGGTGCCTTCCTTCCACCTAGCGGCTGCTCTAACACCCAATGTGCTTCCAATACATCACAACCAATGAGCATCAAAACGTCTTCAGAGTGTGTGCTTTCAATCGGTTTATCATTTAAGTGCTGCCATTAGATTCTTCGTTGCTGACATCGCAGGCTTATGCCTGGGTATGCTAGATACGATCAACGCCCCTTCGATCACAATATGTTTCGACTGATCTAAAGAATGAACTTCGAAAGTGGCGTTCGTACTCCCTGCCGTTTTGTTACCTCCTACGGTCTGCACGACAACTAACTCATAGTCTTCCTGCAACCCAAGCGATTTCACACATGTTGATGTTATCAATATAGAATCGGAACCGTTATCCAAAAGAGCAGATCCTATAATGTCAGCTTTTCCCGATCTCACTCGTATTGGGATCAGTCCAAAGCATAACTGACTGCTTAGTGATCTAGTAAGTCCGCAACCATGCTGGGAATCCTGCTTATCATCCAACTTATTGGTGGTCAAGTCGTCATGCAGCAAAACATGATGTTTTTCTCGCACTTATCGACACTACAATGGATTTTCGTCTTACAGCCGCTATCCTTATGTCCTTGCTTCAGACAGATGAAATACATCCCTTTTTTCTGGCTTGATTTCATCTATCTCGAACGTTAAGCTCTAAAACTGGGGACATTTAGAAACAATGTGATTGCCAGTACAAATGCTACAACTGAGCCTTACGGTAGATATGTTCGCATATTCCGATTGTTGGTGGCAACTCATCTTCACGTCCTGTTCTATTTTAGTCGATTGGCCACCCGACTGAATCTGCTACCAGCTATTCTTGCTCGAGCTAATAAAAATTCAGTAAGTTCGGTGAAAGTCAGTTCCCTATCTTCTTCAGTCCATCTTACTTATAGGTCCGCCCATTGGACTTGCATAGAACGCTGTAAAAGCCTCTCTATTCTCTCTAATGCTACTAAAGAATTTAATTCAGAAGTACAATTCAACTGTTTCAAAGTCATAGCCACGTTTTGCATCTTGATTGCTAAATCCAATAACTGATCTGCGTAGTTGTAGTCGGCATTCCCAGACCTAAACAATCCTTCCAATGTTTCACGAGCAGTTACATGCTATTGTCCAAAGAGCTGTTTTAGAATATCCTTAGCTCTTTTTTGTCCTGCCTGAGGTTCCATGATAAGACACCCTTCAATCGCAACTCTTGCCTTTCCTTTGCAGTACTGGATCAAGTACAATAATCGCAGGCTATTGCCCTCGACTCTAGATTCTATATAGGTCTCAAACAGGCGCATGAACTTAAAGTATCCACACAGATGACCATCGAAATAACTCAATTCAACCTTTGATAGTTCTAAGCCTATAGCCGGTGTCTTAAACTTCACCTCCCTTCCAGGCAATTCAAAATACTCTTTCACACTACCTTCCTTAGTACCCTCTAACAAATGCTTACGATAAAATAAACTATTAGACAGATCGTCTCTATCGGAGAGTGAACCTTTTAAACATGAAGAGTCAGACAGAACTTGCCTTTTAACATAGGAGTCGTCATTCTATTATTCTTCATAGGCTCCATACCAATTCCTGTTTGGCTTCTTCTTACGAAAGCTCATTGTGGTATCTGAGATTCGACCAAAAGGAACTCCAAATTATTGGCACAATATGATCAGATATCAGAAACCACCGGTTCCGTTCCTGGGATTGTTGTTCACGATAAAATATCCAAAGGATCCTCCTCCAAATATTGTTTTGAACTATAGAAAAATTTATTACTCTCGCAGTGAGCTCTGAATCTAAAAGGTGTATGTTCACACGCGTCTCGCCCAGTCCAAATCCAAAAATGACAAATGTGGGAAAGAATGATTCTATTTTTAACCAAAACGGGAAATACAGACAATTACCAAAACAATATTACACCTTCGAGTTTCTAATCACAACAATAAGTTACGATACTGGAAGAATAAGTGCTTCCAGTTAGTTGCAACGAGCTGCTGCGAGAGTATCAAATCCAAAAGTGGCTTTAGCCATATTATGTATCAAATTTTAAAAACACATATATAGTTCAGAAGGAAACATAGAAACTGCAATATAAGTGCAGGATATAGAAATAATAACAAGTTACAAATGATAAAATCCCAAAATGGGACCAAAATGTAGAACAGGTAGAGTCACTCAGATCATAACAAAAATATATATACATGGAGGGATTTTTCAAAAACAAGGCCTTCAAAATAGATTCTACAGTGGGTGCTTCGGTATCGAGGTGTGTCATCACAACTAACTTTGAAATACCTTCCTTCACCACGGAATATGCTTTCTTCACACTATCGTCTTAGCTAGTCAGTTAAGGATATCATGAAGGACGCGAGACTTGGCGTGAACCATCGATAGAAACTTACCAGTCCACTGAATATGCTCAGTCGCTTGAATGTGGTCTATTCTGAATAATGCATAATTGCCTTCTGTTTGTTTTATGCAGGGTGAATTTTTTTGAGGGCCAAATGCAGATAACTGCCTCAGATAACTGAGGCAGTCAGTTGCTGTCTAACATTTTTCTATGCTTACAGTGATGCAGTGCTTTTAAAGTTGTTAGAAAACAATCTTCTGATGTCGGGGATAGGATTAATAATAATAATAATAATTTATTCTCAAATAACAAACATGTTACAAGAGACATGCCAATTTACAGGCAAGATTCCCCGTTCCAATTTGCCATTAAGCAGTCATCAACACAAGCGTTTACAAAACTGAAACCTAAAGAAACTTCATCAATCAACCTCCGAAAAGTTAGAGCATGATTATTTCGACCGATAGGAAAATGCGTAAATTTGTGGAATTCGAAGGAAGTGTTGATGGTCGTCTTAGGAATGTCTTCCACAGCTGCAAACATCTAGTTATATGCTTTAACCTGGAGGATTTTTGCAAAGTAAGTTTGACTCTTCAGGGTAGCCATCAAGTCGAGAAGCAATCGGTAACGATTCTATGTTGTTTTCGGATTGAGTCGCCAACAGTTGCTGGTTGGATACAAAAGATGACTGTTTTTACGGCAAGTGCACATAGGCTGTCTGATGATTGGAATAATCCCAAATCCCTTACATGACTGAACTCATTCTTGGCCAGAGTTGAATTTTCAGGAGCTTGTCTGTGGGATTTCAAAAATGTGAGTGATTATGTGGTGGCGATATGTTGTGAAGGGATTGCTGGTTACACAAGCAACTGCTGCCGTATCTGGTACAGTTCTGAATACTTGTTCAGCATTGGTTTGAAGAACGGGTCGATTATATCGTTCATCGTGACTAAACACAGCTTACAGCCCGGAAACGGAATTCCACAAACATATAATTTAGTATTTCCTAATACTAACACTTGTTTTTGCATTCGAGTACTATGGAGATCCAGTGAAATCATAATAAAATCATTGTTAAGCTACCATTAAAAAACTGAAAGCACTGAAAGGCTATTTTTTCCTGGTATGGGAATCAGGAACCGAGCGCATCCACGACTACTGATACTCACAGGATAGTGAGTAACGAATTGTACTAGACATCGTGGAAATTCACCTCTGATGGTTTCTCCCTTCATTGCTTGTTGTTAACTAATTGATGTGAGATGTCTGTATGTACCTTCTCTACTGACTTAAAGGCTCGATAGTTCCTTTGAAAAATGTAGATAGTGGAATGAAGACATCACTATGTGACATTTTTGCCTAATACAGATTTAACATTCTAATCATATATTTAATTGCTAAGAAATAAAGAACAAACCAAAGAAACAAAAACAGCGATTTTAAACTGATCGAACATACGACATAAATAACTTTACTCTCGATATTAAGGCGAAAGTCAACTAAACGAAAGTAGATTGAACGTAAGTACAAACTGTTTTTGAAACTTACAGAATGGATTGATTAGCTCAATGGTTTAGTCTGTAGTGGTATACTTTTACGAGGAGAACACAATTGCTGAAATATAAACATTTATTATTGTACTTAATTCTGACAATAATTGTTATATTAGACACATCTTGTTTACATGTACTTAAAACTATCTCTCACGCTCCAGGCCTGTCTTTTCCTTCAGCCTTCTCTCCTCGCTCGTGTACACTGGTCTCGTGATTATTTCGATATCACGAGGCTAGCATTAAATATACTTCTCCCTCTAGAATAGTCTTTTATCTGATTACTAGAGTAACGGGATTAACATTAGTTATCCAGAGAAGTGGTATGTTTAATAGGTACTACAACACGTCTTCGATCAATCTAAGTATTTACTCTGAATCTCCCTTAGATAACATAAGAAAGACTAAGTTAAGAACGACCTTGTCATAGGTTTAAGCTTTACGTCTAGAAAAAGGCTACTACGTAATGTGATATGTATTCCAGAATATCATTTATACTTGATATGTTGTTTAATAAAATGATCTATTTAGATTGACGTATTTAAAAAATAATTGCTACTCATATAAAATATTAATGTTGTGTTGTTTGAGACACAGATTCCATTTCAGATTTAGACACGATCATTAAGTGTGACGTCACATTTACTATTAGGGACTTACTTTACGAGTTAACTGGAAAACGATATATTATTTGTCACTTAATATCATAAAAACATGTGCTGATTTTATTGGCAATAAAGTGTGTCACATCTACTTGAAAAAATTACTTGATGTTGCGAATCTATCACATAAAAGTCTTGTTCACTTTCATTTTACCTTACTTTTCGAAAATCCTTGCAGTAAAAACACATAACTTAAGGAGGGCTTGCAGAAGAAGACCACTCAAAACCAAGAAGCAGCATATATATATGAGTGAGGTGGCGACAGGGAGCCAAGGAGATTTAATATCACTCTGACAATTAAGTTTGCACATGACTGCATTGAATTCCGCAAACTCTATGTTGCTCCATAACTTTCTATGTTAAAATTGTAATTATAGTTCAATTATTGGAATTGTGAAACATAATATGTGAATGTGTATTCATTTCATGGATGTGATCGAACGTACTTAATTCATCAATCCAATACAATTTTAAAATAATCCAAAAGTAACTTTCTCATACAACACTATCGCGAAAGAGATGTCTTATAACTAGAAGTTTGTAATCAAAAATATATAATTTTTTGAATGAAACCCAACAATCTTCACAACCCTGTGATGAAAATTGTCTATCTGAAGGAAGTTTTCGGAGGTCTGGTGAGAATTCGTAGCCGGTGGAGTTCAAACGTGTTGGGTGTGAGATAGCCACCAACCCAAGACAATGGATGATGATCGCGCTGTTTGGTGGATTGATTGAGGCTAGCCATTATGAACGTTTAATTTTAGCTGAGTAATCAAGACCGGGGTTAAATGTCGCGAGTTCCATCCCAAAGTGTAACTTTTTCAGATGCGCACTATTGATTGGCCACACCATAAGATGCAACGATCATTCACAACCTCCAGGTTTACAATGGTTGGTTTACGATTTCGATGAAACTCAACAGCCTCCTCAACCCTGATAATCAGAGAATTTACACAGAGTGAATCTAGCAGATTGAGGTCATTTCGAAAGAATGAAATCTTTGAAGGAAAACAGATCGACTATGCCAACACGAAGAGAGTAAGAGATTTTGAAGGCTAGTCTAAAAATATTTAAGTAGTTGTGAAATTGTATCATTTTCAGGAACTACGGTTTAAATATCTCTAGGAGTGTTGTTCGATACTCTCCCAGAAAGAGCACGAAAAGTAAGAAAAAGATGGAGGAATGTTTCCCAGAAATTCATTGTCACTACCAGGCACGGAAACATACTAAAATGGTCATCTCTTTTCATTTCGGAGTTCTCTTACCGGCGAAATTTTCTTCGGAACCGGAACTATTACAGTTTTACATATAAAGGAATAGTAGAACATTTAGGTGTATGTTTTATTCACATATTATATATATTGACAACCTTGTGAAATTGGATATTGGACGGTGGCAAACCTGCCCTTGTAACCTTGAGCAAACACTGGTGTTCGCGATCATTCCTTCACAACCTGTTCCCAGTGTTTATCAACATGGCGAAGTGGGGAGAATGTGATCCAAGGTGGATTGTTGAAGAAAGAGCAGATGCAAAGAATGTCAACAATTGGCACTGGTGTGATAAAGATGCAACGAACTGGTCAATAAAAACAATAAAACAGCTGTTGCAAGGTTCTAAGATTGAAGATGATTTATGTAAGTAACCTCCGTCTAAATATCTCATTTTATGTCCTGAAGATGATTGCAAATTCACTGAAGTGTCTAAGTGTGAAGGAGAGGCTAATGTTCATGTGCGAAAGGGAAAGTTAATATATTTTTACGAGTGGCAGATTGTGGTTGATTGGGAAGGTGAGTTGCCAACTAAATAGTCTAGTGTTTTTGGTGGTACCACATCCACCATTTATGTCTGAAGTAGGACTTTCACCAGGGAGTGTCCATACATCATAGTGCACTTCCCCTTTATTTCTGTCTTATTTCTGCACGAATTGTCCTTTTTATCACCCTCTATGTTCATCTCTATTTCCTCTCTTAAATTTTCTGGCAGTGAATTAACTAGTCATCGTTACCTTAAACGCGAAATGAAAGTAGAGATAGTGTTTGAAGTTTTGCACACAGGGAACATCACGTTCATATGTCGCAAACCGTTGGACCCGGAGAAAGAAACGCCTGCAATGTTGAAAAAATCTACCACTTGAGTCTTTTGGTTTACTAGCTATAGTTGAGCTGTGTAATCCTTTATCGGTAGCATGGGATGTCTAGTATGTATTCTCCCAAATTTCAGGAAGGATAAGCTATTCGGTCAATAGAACCTGTCTCGGATCTCATTGTCCGAAATCAAGTTGGATTGTTGTGCGCATGGTTTTCGTTCCAAGGTTTAAGTTCTAGATATCTTTAGATCATAACTCGGTGGTTGATAACCGCATTATCCACCACACAAAATGCGATTCGTCACGTTTCAGCTATCCATGGATTTGGCCACGAATAAAATCAAGCCAATCCTTGCAATTCTGCCTGGCTAACTAAAAAGGGGATTGTTTCGACAAATGGTTCTAATTCGTGATGGTTTATACGATGTAAGAGGCAAACTATTTTGATTAGGATCTATATAAATATTTAATGATTCAAAATTAACTCGACTTTATCGACCAGTGTCAGTGACTCATCCACGCTTTACAACCCTGAAATGCCTAGTATCCATAAATCTCACGCGTTCCTCTACCTGCTTTTATCACTTATTCAATTTTAAATTTCGTTTGTTCCCTCGTACCATTGTAAAGCTTTGAAATAGAGCCATGTTTTAGTGTTTTAAGCACTAAAAACGGGTGGGCTAGATCGTAATTTTGTTTGCAGAGCTCATTATTTCCAATCTTTACGCTTCTGATTATTCAACTATATGATTGGCTTTTACGATCTTTAAAGCTCATAATCACGCAAAACGCTTTGTTTGTTGAACAAACGGAGCACCCAACAGTCTAACTCGGCAAGTGGCTTTGATATCAAATCTCTCTTCTCATTGTAATATCTATGGCTCATTGTACGGCTTATCGTTATTTCCTTCATACGGAGTCAATTTCAGTTCCGAAAATTGGTTGTGCCTTTGAATATAGTTAACGGTGATTGGGAATCAGTTAAAAGTTGTTATAATTGTATATCTCTCGGCAGAAATTCGACAAATGAATCCAGGCGCTTTTGTGTTTTACTTGTCCCCCATCTTAATATTTCCTGATCATTATCTGCTGCAATCGTCTCTTTACGCTTGGTCTTCAGAAGCAGTTTTTGACGGTAATCTTTAGCATTCTAACCTCTGTCAATAAGAGCATCAGCTACACCAAATTGGTGGTTTGTTTCTACATTAAAATGATGCCGTATCCCTATTTAGTTCCCCCTAAAATTTAGCATTTCTTCTTAAAAAGTGTTTGACTACAATCTGTAGGTTTCGTTCATAGCAATTTGCAATTTTACTACCTGATATCCTAAATGATTTATCTAGGATATTAGAACCACGCATAAGCGAACAATATTGTTTTCGATTAGATCGTCATCAGGCTTTACTCTAATGTACATGAATATTTATATGAAAATGTTGAACCAATCAAAGTAATTTGAGTCAATAATCTTGGATGATTTAGTCAGATTTCAAATCCTAAGAGTTTCGGGCTGTCGCACTGATTATAAAACTCGAAGTTGACAATTGCCACCTTCATTTAATCTTCATTATTGTGATGCGCCTTTTATTTCTTCTATGACGTTATACTTTTTGTTACATTTTTCCAACAGGAATGGTGAAATGTTCTGAAAACAAAACAAACTTTAAAGGGAAAATAGAAGTTTTGAATCTGAGTGACGAGTACACTGTGGATGAACTCGAAACTAATACTACCTGGACTTCTTCCAGCACTGATGGTGATCTAGTCGGGAATTTTATGAGGTCAACTGGTGTTAACTTTATCAAGTCCAATTTAAAGGAATATCTCAGACTACTTAAAGAAGGTTAGTATGTCAATACTTAGTTAGGAGTTTTTTGTAATAGAATATGCTCAGGATCTCATCCTGCCTACAAAGAATGATGCTAACGCGAAGCTTGTTGGTACGGCTGTAAACAAAACAACCAACAAAACTGTCCATACTGCCGATGGAGTTAAAGAACCTAGAGACCTGTCAGGCAGAGATATCTCAATCACAGATGAGTTCTTTTGCACTCCGGATGATCTTTACCGAGTTTTCACTACTAAAGAGGTAATCAGCTCCATTTGTATTTACAGTAAGAATCATAAAGTCTCTAGGAAGGGTTTTATTTAGTATGTGGGAAAAATAATGTCCCAGATTCCTGTAAATGCTAATTTAGAGAATTTTTAAGATATACTGTCTTGTTAGTAGGATATTCTTTCTTTTCATGATTGTTTCAAACTGAAATTCAAATGATCTGACTGGTCCATCTGTAACCAGTTGGCGCCGATTGACTAATCGAGAAGACACTAGGAGTTCTCCATATAAATTCTATACAAACTGTTACGTTTTTACAACTGCTCTTTGAAATTTACTATGTTCTTACCCTATTTCTTCTTTTGTCAAGTAAAAAAGTGTAGCTGTGAAGAAAAACCAGACAAAAGGGAACATTACAAGCCTTGGATTCAGTAGAAATTATGATCTACATTTAACCATATGATTTGAACCTTTAGAATAGTTTTCATACTTGTCGTTCAGGAAACCTTAATATTCCCATCTTTTTTAAATTTCACGCTTTAAGAAATAAAGATATTTTTTGTGAATTTCACGGAAAGTAGTTAATTTTAAGTCTGGTTTTCAAACTGACGTCCTGATGACAATTTAACTACATTGGTTCCATCAGTTAGTTATAACGACTGAATTTATCTACTAAATCTGATTGGTATTTGGCTTTTTGGGATTAACTTTGCGCTATCAACTAAAAGAAACATCTGGATATGCTGTTTCAGGTTCCTTAAAAATGTATCATAATTTTATATATTGAAGCACAACCTTCAATACAGAGGGGCACTAAAATATTTATACGCCATACAAATTATAGGGTTTGTGTGCCGACTAGGACTCTGTGCGGACGACCACTTTCCGAGCCTTTGATCCATAGGTCTAATTCACTAGGCGGTGGAACAATGTTAGGAGATGCAATTCCTTGGTAGCCGGTAACCAAGAATTTTTCATTTATCCCCTCAATAACATGGCGTCCATGCAGCTCATTAGTTTGCAGTCAGGGTTTTCCAGCTCCCTTAGGTGGTCCTTTGTATCCACCAACCTGGTTAAAGCACGGGACATTTGATCCCCGTCCTATGAATTTTATGAACAGCGCCCCCGCCAAGAGAAAACAGTTAGCAGAACTTCCTTGACTATACACTCGTGCCATGTGACAGCATTTTAAGAGGGAGAGCGGACTATTCCCATTCGACCGTGTCAAGGCACAAAATCTGTTTAACGATGTCTTATTTTACTCCAAGAGAATAGTATAAAAAGTAGATTTCATAATAAATCTGAAAAATGTACATTCAATAGACAGTTGTGTGAGCTGATATTGTATAATTTGTACTAAGTGGTGCCTAACCACAAGCGGGTCGATATAAAGCATGCTCTTTCATAATATTGCATAAATTTTTATGATATGATAATACTCTTCGAGAACTGTTGACGCGATAGTTGGGAAGTATTTTATGTAAAACAACGTCACATTTTGATTATAACGTTGAAATATTTGTACCATCGCCTATTACTATAACGAAAAATTTAGGTTCAGAGTTTGGAGTTATTTTGATATATATTAATGTGCCAGGTTTAAAGTTGCTTTTCAATGACTTCTGATTAATGTATGATCTCATAAAAACGTAAATTTTTTACGAAATGATACCTTTGTGGGCATACTGTGTCACATGCGCTTGCTTGACCGTAGTTATTTGCAGTTTGTGTTGTGTTAACTTTATTATAATAACTGGATAAATACCTTAGTTTTAGTACCAATGCGTTTTTTTTAATATCTTAGTTGGTTCAAGCTTTTACAAGGTCTGAGGCCACTGTTAATCCAGTTGTTGGTGGAGAATATTCCGTCTTCGGCGGAAATATTACCGGAATCTTTGGTATGCTAGTAAGTTCCATTAATATTTTTCCTTCCGAATAATTTTCCGAGAAGCACTAGTCTAATTTAAAAATAACTTTATCTATATGCAATCGCTTATTTCCACGCCGTTTGCCGATATCTAAACAAATAAGTTCATATATTAAGAACGAAAGGTAGTTTTACGAAAGTAGTTTTCTTGTTAGTAGTATGATTCTCTAAGGCTGTATAATCTCCAACCTATTTCAGAAATATAGTGGTTAATTGAAATTATATTGTTATAAGGTCGTATCAATTGCATCCAATATTTGATTAAAATATAACGCGGACTAGAAACAATTTCATTAATAGTCGATACGCTTATGCAAAAGTTATAAAATTTATCAGTGGTGTAGTAATCAACTATCCATCTAATTTGTGACTGTCACTTCATTTATTCATATGTAAGCATACTCGGCTTCATATAACCTACTGTAATGTAGTGTATCCGGATGTAATACCCTCTGGTTCATAACTGTATGTAATGAAACTATTAGCAAGATCTCTAAATATTTTGGCAACAACGTCTACGCAACTCCACCATATTATTATGTTCCCAGTCAGTCAGTCAGCTACATCTACGTACATATATCAGTTCAAATTGCCATACCGATTGTCTATTAAAATCCCATAGTAGTAGAGATAACAACAGTACTAGCGGTAATCAAAAAAGATTAGGGTTCGAAGAAATTATTCAAGAAGTATAGTCCAGTGAAATAAATTTTAGAAAACATAAAAATATAAGTGCTGAGGAATTCAGAAGATTAGGATTTGAGAGAACACAAAGAGTGGATGCATCTGCGCCATTGCAAGCGACTTTGAGCCATGTCGTTCAAGGTCTCTAACCATCGGTTACTGTCGTCCCGCGGACCCCAACCCCGTAGTCAACATTTGCCGACATGACTCAGTCCAGTTGTCAGTGACTTCATGGATTTGTGCCATGTTTTGGTCTGGCCGCCCCTACTTTTCTTCCACCCTACTTCTACACCGCAAAGTATAGCTCGACGAGGCAGTTGGTCATACGTTACTCTCAAAACTACTGCACATTTCGCAGAACTACGAAATGATACCTAATTTGTTGTTCTTAAACACTTCACGCTACAAGATGTAGACACTTGATATAAAAGTTATCTTTTCAAAGCCATTTTACTCAACAAGTATAATGCTGTAGCAGACGGGTGGTCACTGGTTCTGTCCCGACATCTATGATAACACTCGCCAACCAAAACTATATTGTAATGCTAGTTAAAGGGTGAGAAACTCATCAGGGGTATTTTTACCAAGCTTTAACTGTCCCGACATGTGGAGTAAATAATTGTCATGAACTTTCGCGTTGTTTTGACTCACAATGCGATCTTCGGTGATTGCATTGTTAGTTGACAGTACTACTAAAGCAAAAGGGCCATATCACCGTTATATTTTCCTCAAAGCCTTAACGAATTGCATTCATGGACCAAACACTTTTGGTACGAAGCGTACATTATTGAATTTTTTTGAAGTTAAAATTTGAGTAACTTCCATTTTTCTGCTTGATATTTTTTGGTTAACTTGCATTCTTGGTACCATTCCTGTGAAACGTACAGTATAATTTTGAAGTGTTTCAAACTTATTTATGCCTATCAATTGTCTGGTATTAATTTTTTCAATAAACTATTGACAACTCAGTTTGCTTATTTCTTACTAGATATTGTTTTTCGCGATGATTAGTTTCACTTTAGCGCCTAACGTTTGGCTTAATTTGTTGTCCTCATAATTTTCAGGTTGCTGGTAAAACAATTCAGATGAAGTGGCGTAAACGCGAATGGCCCGAAAATCATTACAGTTCACTGACTTTGGAAATGAGTGCTTTCGAAGGTGGGACGCGCCTACTTTTAACACAAACAAATGTTCCTGCTTATGACTTAGAAAATACTCGCAACGGATGGTTTACTATATTCCTTTCTGCATTAAAACAAACGTACGGATATGGTGGGCGTATGTTTTAAGATCTTTACCGAAGTGGTTTATTTTGCCAGTACGGTAAAAGCTTCAAAAATGGGACATCTACTGTATATTTCCATGATGGTCTGCATTGTTACGTTATGAATGGTTACCAACTTAATATAATATTTTGTGATATTTTCGCTTTTATCTTTATGGAAAAATGCAACAAACTGTCGTTTGTGAAGCATAATTACTAAACCCCTTTCGAGCATATCGTGTTTTCGAAGTCAGTAGTACACGTGAATCAGACCCCTAGACGATTTTTTTATGAAGGTAAAGCATCAGAACTTCAGATTCACAAGAACCGTTTTGTGTGAATATTTTATCATATGACTTCAGTTCCACATTAAATAAATGAAGTTTCAAGCAACTGAAGTTCTTATACATAAATGGCAAAACTCTCCATTGGTTCTAATATTCATTTGAAGTCAAAACATGTTGCTCCATGCCGTATTCTTCAATTAGTCCTTCCATTCATATACTTAGGGTATATGAGTGAACCTGGTTTTGATAAATATCGACCTATACGTATCCACTCTCAATCACTCTTCATTGCAAAACAGTCCGTACATACCTAAATTATGTTTTGAGCATAATGACGCCGCCAAATATATATCACCAATTTAGAGGAAAGCTGTAGCCATTGAACTGCAAAACTCGTATTGACTTTAAATAAACATGAATCTAACAGTCATGGCAGTGATTATTTCTTGGTATTGGCTGAGAAACATTTCGGAGATGACTACGCTGGTACAATCGTCCACCATAAAACTATTGTACGGTCATGAGGATATATGTAAATTTAAGACGACCGATTACAGTTCGTTATCGTTTCTTGTCTGTTATGTACGTAACTCACCAATCGAATCGTGGTCTAAGCGCTCACCACGTTGGTCTGGTCTGATGTGTCTGTTAACTATCTCTGTTGCATGTGACCTACCAATTGAAAGACATTATTCTATTTAATTAATGTAACTCATAATTTTATTCATTTCGATGAGACACGAAATACTGGTCGGTATGTTTGCTCGTTTCACTTAATAGCTGTAATTTCCTTAATTGTTGTACTAATTTAATTGTTTTTACATTTAGAAACAGACAAAGTTTAAAGCCAAATTGTCCTTGTACTGACTTTAGCTTTAACATAGACTCTGAGGTCGCTAGTATCGGGTTTATGCTTCTAGTAATATATCTGTAGGACAAATTAAATATTATAGTGTCTTTGGACGCGTTCTATTTAGAATCAAGTTAGATGGTAACGATAGGCAAACTACGACACGGAATCAGCCTGTTAAATAGAAACTAGAAACCTAAGTTTGCTCATTATGACGCGAATTGATGGTTACATACTCTGCAATAAAATAAAAGAGCGAACACTACAGAAATGTATTTGCATTACATGTGGAATACTCCAATAATGCGTCAGTTGGTCTCACTTTTTACATTTCGTCTAACTACAGTCCCCACTTTATTTTGAACGGATTGCCTTGGTATGGCATAATAGTTTATGTTCCGAATATTGACCACATTTTTGAAAAGCTTATTTCTATATTACTCCCTAAATTAAGTTACTATGGAAGTGGATCTTATCAAATTTTTAAAGCCTTCTAAGACAAAGTTTATTTAGTGGATCGTTTCAAAAATAAACAGATTTTCTCTTAGTTTGTGTGACCGTCCCCGCGACGAAGTTTAATATCAGTTTATTTTTAACATAGTTAATCAAAAAATGGAGAGATTCACCTGTTTTTGAGATAGACTGCTCACTTTTTCGGATACCTCTATAACTTAACGTTCATTGTTTTTAACGTGTTTCTCTAAACGGGTAGGTGGGTATTACAGGGACATATTGAAGGATGAACAAAATCTGTTCTCACTCTGAATGAGTTAGACTAAGAAAATTTATTTCAAAGTATTTAGCCTAGTATACACAGTAAAGGATCATTGAAGTACTCACAGAGCCGAAAGTGGTTTTGTAAGAATGTCTTACTGTCAGTTCATGACGTAAAAAAACAACCTTGCTAAACATAAAAATCAATCAACAGTATTATGCTATATCTGACTGGGAAAGCTATTTGATTTTATCTCAAAAAGTAGTGATAAAGTACATAGGAAATCATACATATAAAGTATGAAGTATTAAATGATAGGGAGATGAAATGCGTAATACAACAGCAGCTTTGTTGGTGTATGTGATACTAGTTTGAGACAGCTTCTATCGTATCTGGAAGCCTGTAATGTCGCCACTCTTGTTTTTGGCGGTTAGCTGCAACAGCACTGTCAACAACAGCATCCATCATACCTTCTGTTAGGACACCGTCCTCACTGGAATATGCAGCTGTCTGTTGTAGTTTAAAAATAAATAGGAAAGAAATATACAAAACACTAAACAATCAAGAGAAAGATATGACTAGATCACTAACTTATTTGTCAAATGAGGTCCTCTATAAAAGTAGACTTTCATAATAGACGTGTTAAGCAAAATGTGCAAAATAAACCAGGTAATTAACTTTGGTGATGAGTTTTCTTAATTCTGTAACAAATACTGATGTTATTATATATTTTTAGACAAGTTTGAGATAATCGTACATTCCTAAAACTTTCCCGATTTCGCTGAAGGAAACAGTCGTTTCCAAGCATGATATCAAATCGGTGATGGTAACAATTTTACTACTGACGTGTGCTGTCAGTGGGCTGATTATTATTTATTACCTCTGATATACTACTACTGACTAGCAGGTGGACATTAATGTGTATTTTGTTATCTGACTTCTGAACACCGTTAATCGTGATAATCTGATCATGCCAGTACCATTTAGTGCTAACAGTTATTTTACACAATGATTGGTGTAATGTAAGCACAGATGGACAAACCAGAATAAAATGTAATTACGATGCTATGTATATGAGTAGCAGAAATAACGAGAACAATAAATGTTGTTAGAAATACAATAGTAAAAAATAGTTTAAACCAGTATGCACCATTACGAATTTATATATATATATATATATATATATATATATATATATATATATTCTCATTAGCTCTAGGACGAGCATTCCTAAAAGAAAGTATGGAAGTAGACTTCCGTAGTTCTTCTTTGATGACGCTTTAGTATATTTAGTCACTGACGTGAAGCTATGGTTTTTCAAATCGTAGGTGAACATGCCTAAGAGGATGATCAAATAGATCTAGAATAATCAAGTAAGCAATGCTGTTTGTTAGGAATCGAGTACTAGGTAAGGATGGCAGATCAATAGATAAAGTGTTAAGACTTCGTCAGTCGAGAAGATTAGAACATGTATTACGTGAGTCAGTCAGTTGCAACGTAGAACTTCGTACGTAAGTACATCAGTTCATGTCGCCATACCACATCAGCACAGAGATATAATTGTCAATTCAAATCCAATAGTAGAAGAGGTAGTAAAGGTATTAGAAGTAATCGGAGAGGTTAGAATTAGAAGATATTATTCAAGAAGTATGATTCAATGAGATAAGTTTAGAAAGTAAAAACTAGGGGTGTTGAAGAATCCAGAAGATTAGGATTTGAGAGAACACAAAGAATAAATGCACTGGCGCCATTGCGAACGATTTTGAGCCATGTCATTCAAGGTCTCTAGCCATCGATTATTATCATCTCGCGGACCCCAACCAGGTAGTCGAAAATTACCGAGATGGCTAAGTCCACTCGTCAATGACTTCATGGATTTCTGCCATGTTTTGGTCTGGCCGCCCCTAACTTTCTTCCAACCTATTCCTACACCACAAAACAAAGCTCGACGAGGCAGTCGGTGGTTAGGCATACGCAACACGTGTCCCAACCACCTCAACCGATGAAGTTTCACTACTTCATCAATTGATCTGCCATCCGTACCTAGCACCCGTTTCCCAACAAAATTGCTTACACGGTTGTCCCATGATACACGAGCAATGCTTCGGAGACACCTATGATCTGGCTGGCCATGTTTCACAGCCATAATGTAAGACGGAGCGAACCACTGCGCAGTACACTCGTCCTTTAGTCAGCAAACGGATATCTCGCCTACGCCATAAGTGACGCAGGTTGGCAAAAGCCAATCGAGCCTTCTGTATCCGTGCCGAGATTTCGTCAGTCATCAGGCCATCAGCACTGATGAGACTCCCAAGATAAGTGAAGCGGTCTACACGTTCGACCACTTCACTCTCTATCACTAGTTCAGGTGCCGATGAAACCCAATCTTGAAGCAACATTTTGCATTTCGAGGGGGAAAACCGCATCCCGAACATGCTTGCATTGTTGCTTAGGGTAGTCAGAAGACTCTGCATTTTGTCAGCGTCTTCACCAAGTAGGACTAGGTCATCGGCATATTCTAAGTCAATAAGCGAGCCACCTGGTAAAAGGTCTACTCCAGAAAATTCAGACGAGGATAAGGTTATTTCTAGGAGCATGTCTATGATAAAATTAAACAAGGATGGAGAAAGTGGACATCCCTGACGGACACCACTTGAAGTAGAGAATTCCGGTGACAGTTCGCCATAAGCTCTCACTCGACCAGTGGTGTTTGAGTAGAGAGCTTGTATGAGGTTAATGTACTTCTTTGGTACACCTTTCAATGACAGACACTGCCACAGAACCTCACGATCCACAGAGTCAAATGCCGCCTTAAGGTCTAGGAAAACAACTATTGTAGGACGCCTAAATGTGTGTCTATGTTCCAGGACCTGTCTGAGTGTGAAGACGTGGTCTATACAACCACGTCCAGGTCGAAAACCAGCCTGGTTTTCTCGAGTCTGCTCTTCACGAGCTTTCGTTAAGCGTCGAAGTATTACTGAGGCCAATATTTTAGATACTATATTAGTTAGACTTATTCCTCTGTGATTGTCACAAGAAGACTTCTGTCCTTTCTTATAGATTGGGACAATCAGTGATTGAGTCCAGTCGGATGGGATTGCGTCCAGTTCCCAGATTCTACCTAAGATCTCAGTCAATCTAGCTGCTAAAACTGGACCACCATCCTTAAATATCTCAGGGGTCAGTCTATCAGGACCTGCAGCTCGTCCTCGTTTCAGATTTCCTAACGCTTTTTCAACTTCATTAAGACTAGGGGGACTTACGTCGATTTGCCATTCAGGATGACTGGAGATCGTGGGTAACCGAAGAGTGGCTCGAGGCCAGTTGAACTGATCCCTAAAGTGTTCTGCCCATCGATCCAGTCTCCTGGATTGAGAATAAATAATAGTCCCGTCATTTTCTGAGATAGTCTCACTTACACTAGGATTCCTAATACCAGTTTCCTTGATAAGTCGGAAAAGTTGTCTACTGTTGCCTATCGCCGCTGCCTTTTCCATCGCTTTTGCTTTCGCCACCCACCACTGTTCGCGATCATTACGTAGGCTTTTTATAAGTCTGCGCCTAAGTTGACTTCGTTTTTCATCATGTTCAGAGCCAGGTGGGATGAGTTTTCGGGCATCCATCAGATCGGTGGATGCTGCTGAGATCCACGGTTTTATTCTAGCCTTATGGTCAACCTCACTAGCAGATATCACTGCTGTTTCCACAGCCTTTTTGATATCATTCCATCCTGCCCCCAGATGGGAAGCGCTTAAATGGTCGCCTGTCTTTCTAGTTGTTCCTGAAATATATTTTTCGCCTTATTATCATTAAGTAAAACCCTAAGAGGCTTTCTTACGGTGTCTTTCCTACGTCCAGTAAGCTTCAAACAAATACGCGCTCGCACTAGGGCATGATCTGAATCTAGACATGTGCTCCAGAACGAGCGACAGTCCTCTATCGAACCCCTCCATCGGTGGCTGATGGCGATGTGATCTAGTTGAGTCCAACGTGTCCAACAGCGCACAATCGACTATCTATTGGGATCCAGTCAAGGAGAGATTGTTCTGCCCTACGACTCAATGCTATGCCTACGCCAGCAAGACCCCGGGAAGCAGCATCAGGGCTACCGGATACACGAAGAGTAAATCGAGCTGCTTCTTTGTTTTGACAAGGTGAAATCAGATTAACAATTTTACTAGAATCCTGTATGCGCGTTTTCGAGACGCAGCATACATCGATGGCACGAGTTTCTAAAGTCCTAGCTAAGGAAGCCTGTTGCCCTATTTGACACAATGTCCGTACATTAAATGCTCCAACATGTAGTCTAGAGCGAGGTTTAAGGAGACCAGGAACGACGTTTCGCAAACTCGTATCGTCTGCATTAGCTGTGGATTGTGATGAATGAATGTGAGAAGAGTTAGTCGTGGAGATAAGAGAGGTACTAGGGGGTGTAGGAAGGATTTGATTTTGACCAATTTGGTCTCGTGTGCTGTTACGGGTATGAGGGCGGTTGTCACTTCCCGGCTGCCCACACCGTGGAAGGTTGTTTCTTGAGAGACCAACCACCAACTGCCTCGTCGAGCTATACTTTGCGGTGTAGAAGTAGGGTGGAAGAAAAGTAGGGGCGGCCAGACCAAAACATGGCACAAATCCATGAAGTCACTGACAACTGGACTGAGTCATGTCGGCAAATGTTGACTACGGGGTTGGGGTCCGCGGGACGACAGTAACCGATGGTTAGAGACCTTGAACGACATGGCTCAAAGTCGCTTGCAATGGCGCAGATGCATCCACTCTTTGTGTTCTCTCAAATCCTAATCTTCTGAATTCCTCAGCACTTATATTTTTATGTTTTCTAAAATTTATTTCACTGGACTATACTTCTTGAATAATTTCTTCGAACCCTAATCTTTTTTGATTACCGCTAGTACTGTTGTTATCTCTACTACTATGGGATTTTAATAGACAATCGATGCGGCAACTTGGATTGATGTTGTTCTTTGTTGCAGCTAACTAACTGACAGTGAAAGATTTAGGCAAGTATACTTGATCAGCAGTTGGTTAATTTGAGGTATTAGATAAGTTTTATGTTAAAGTATTATAAACTTGATATTTTAGGAATAGGTATGGTAAATTTGTTTCGTTTTCGTTTGTTAAGAATGTCAAGATGAATATTGGTGATATTTTATCTAATACTGCATACGTTACCCTGAAATTTTTTAGTACATTTTCAATTTTCCAATGATATAAAAGTAACTCTAAGTCGCCCAAAATGTGTTCTTTTTTCATTCATGAAATAGATTATGGCGTTTTCCTCATATTCACTAAATTTTTTATTGGATGAAAATAAGATTATATTAGTATTTACACCTATGATGAAGCGGTAATTATGATTCATGTTATAACTTGAAAATATTTCAACTATATTTAAATATTTAAAGCCTATCACTTGGTTGCTTTTTCCTTAAGATGTTGCATTAGTACTGAAATCAATAGTAATTGTACAAAAATTCGAATCATGTACCTGCCATCCAACTGCAACTTTGGAAATCTCGCGTCCAGAGAGGCCAGTAGTCCTTTTAGCAATCTCTGCACATTTTACAGTATAATTTATGTTTTCGGCTAAGCGAATACGATGATTTTTGGTTAATGAAGGTTGAAGAAGGAAAAGATCGAAATAATGTCTGATCAATCGTTCACGCTCTTCTAAGTCAGGTAGTGTGAACTGAACAATTTCATCCATTCGATCATTAATTGCCCAGTCAAACTGTTCCGGTTGGTTACTGGCTAACACTAACATAAATCTTCAAGAGAAAATAATCAAGATTACTAAAGGAATAAATAGTTTGCGAAAATAACGAACAAAATCTAAGTGAAATGGTGAATATAATTGTATCAACTTGGAAAAACTTATTTTTAGCAGAATTGGTCAACCGTTTGGATATCATGTCTGTTTAACGCATTGTGTCAAGAGGCTTATCGAGAATCGCACATGTAAAAAAGTAGCATTTTACTTCAAACCATAGTATGAACAAATATACCAAAATGTTACATAACATGATATGAAAGAGTGGAGTACGGAAGCATAATATTCTATTCAAAGGCGCTAACACAAAAATATATTTCGGTTTGCATCAGCGAATACATTAAAAGTAATAAACTTTGTAGATTGTCTTTCAAATTCTAACAGAGCACTGGCAATTTATGATGAAACTCATACATTTTCAAAGTTGAAATTACGACACGATCTTAGCTAGACTACCTTTGTAAACCTGGAAGCATCGGATGGTCATTTCGCTTTAGTACGGGATAGATACACCTGACTGCTAACAGACAACCTACTACCTCTATTAGTCTGAATTATTATATATACGTCTGTGGTTGGTGTTTATAATTTTCTTTATCAACCTGCCTTTTTAGTGAATAAAATATCTGGGATGGTGGGGCACACTAAAATTCACTACCAAATTATCATTTTAATGGAATAAATGTAAAGATTGAACCGTCTGTTTATAAAATACTAAAATTAGAATAAACTGCCTATTTAAAGAAGCTATTGACATGTTGTACTTAGCTTTGATCTCCAGGTTCCCATTGATATACAAAGGCAAAATTCAGTTTATCCCCAAATTATTTAGGCTTTTTAAAATCTGTTCGAATACGTTTTCTCATTTTCTAAATACTGTCACATTTACTGTTTTTTATGTTAATACACCCTTAACAATACTATTTATCCACTATGCAAGCACAATTTTTTCTATTTCCATATCCTTGCAATACTAAGCTTGTTCGCAATTATCACACCTGGGGGTGGTTATGTTAGTAAACAATAATATGCTTAATTTATGAGTTATAGGGGAGCTGCAAAGCCCTTCGATACATTTATATTCTACACCAAAAAAATGGCAACCGAAGAGAGCAAACTTTTTGTACGTATTTGAACAAGCATTGAGACAGTTTTGCATTTTACTCAGATAGATTAGTTTTCGCTAAATAATATGAAACAATGATACTTATTTGGTTTCAACGTCAAGAAATACAATGTTAATCTGCTGGTCGAATTACTGTTTTATTGGTGTTTCCCTATTTCATGCAGTTTGTTCCCTGTATGAATTTTTATGAGGCCAGAACAAAAATTGGGGTAGAAAAATATGAACGAATTATGTTTCGTGGTTTCCCAACAGATTCATATGAACATATGCGCAAAACACCGTAAAGATAAGTAACGACATGATATGAAACAATATACACTGATGACGGGAGGAATTTAGGTTACAAAGAGTGGTAACAAGAACTACGTACATATATATATATATATATATATATATATATATATATATATATATATATATATATATATAAATCATTCAATGTAGTAGCAGAGAAGTACAAGCGCTCTACTCGAACACTACTAACCGAATCAGAGCTTATGGCGTACTGTCATCAGAATTGATCAGTTTAAATCCGTCAGGGCCGTCCACTCTCTCCATTCTTGTTTAACTTTGTCATAGACATACTTTTAGAGTCAACAATATTTTCGTCTGACTTTTCAGAGGTGGACTCAATGCTATACCTACGACAGCAATACCCCGAGAAGCAGCATCAGGGCTTCCATACACACAATGAGTACATCGAGCTGCTTCTTTATTTTGACAAGGTGAAATCAAATTAATGATTTTACTAGGATCCTGTATGCGCGTTTCCGAGACTTAGCATACATTCATGGAGCGAGATTCCAAAGTCTGTTGACCGGACATTATATGCTCCAGCATGTTATTTAGGACGGCGTTTCAGAAGACCAGCGAAAACGTTTGCATTAGTGGTGCAGTGTGATAAAGGAATGTGAGAAGAGTTAGTCGTGGAGATAAGCGGGATAGTAGAGGGTGTAAAAAGGTATTGTTTGTGACCACTTTGGTCTCGAGCGCTATTATAGGTATGAGGACGGATGTCACTTCCCTGCTGCCTACACTTTGGAAGGGTGCTTCTTAAGGGCCCTGAAAAGGAAGGTATGTTATTGTTGATCTTAACGACCTGGGACCGTGATCGCAGAGCCCAAGGGACAACTGCTGGAAGCTGGTCACGCATGGACTTTTTATGTGAAATTCTCGAAGTGTTAGCTCTGTTCTTTTTCAAAGCCCCTAGCGCCGGAGACGGAAATCGGTGAGGTATGACATTTTTAGAGTCGACTTTCTTTAATTACTTCCTTCTTTGTGAGAAGAAAACATCGTTGCATATGCTGAATGTGCGAGGAAAACACCTTACTGCTATTACATCCCTCTACAGTCAGAAGTAGGACTTCGCCATCAGACCTTGATTAGCTGCTTCTAGCCTCATCGTTTTCCAATCGACCTGCCTGTCATGGAGAAACTTCAGGAACATATGTTCTAGCCAATATAGCTCGGTTGGATTATCATGATAGGTAAGCCCGGCCATCACGTCAAAGTAGCAGCTACGGTCTGATCATCCCAAGCAACAATGCAAGTATGTAAAGACTACGAGTGCGGTCAAAAAGGGTATGTACTTCTTTTGACCACCTACATAGGAAGCTTGGGTATTAGTATTAGAAACAACACAACAATACACACTGAGAGTCCACAGGCGAACAATAGTAATAAGTTCTGTACTAAATGCCTTTCAAACGTTGTTGATCTGGAGATAATTTTTAAGCAAAATAGCTAGAAAATAGACTACTTATTTCATGATATTTGGCTGAGGACGACTGAGACAAAACTACCTATCCAATATCAGTGCAACCCAGTACTCAGCCATCAAAATTAAGAAGCAGGGTGAGATAAGTACTGAGGGTTTGGCAACATGACGTTAATGGTATGACTCAGAAGTCAATTATTGTAAATACGTCAATCTATAGTTATGTATAAATAGTTTGTTCATTCAACCAAATATCTTAAAATTTGCAGTAACTTCTTGAGGATTTTCAGCTTACTTCTTAGATTGTTCTCCAGTTCTGTACAAAAATGCATTTAAAGTTGCTCGAACACCTTCACTTATCCGTTCTTGGTCTCTTTTACGAAGAAATGCATCAGCTTCATCCACAAATAGTAAAACTCTAAGGGAAAGACAAAAAAGTAGTAAAGTCAAAATCAAATACTATAGATTTGAAATAATAAGCAACCAGATTCTACGAATGACATTGAACAACGACTACTTTTTTAACAAGAGAATAGTTGTTAACTTTAATTTCATGTTTATTTTATTTGATTACCATTATTAATATCGGGAATAATCTCTTGTTTCTGATGTCCTCAGACTTAACAATTAATTACTATCCAGAAAAAAAAGAACATTTTATTTGCTTAACAGTGCAAATTCTTTCATCATAGGAAATTAATAATGGATTCTACCAGTATATCTTCAGCTAATATATATTAGTCACAAACAAATGTTGACAACACCGCGGAAGGATACATGAAGTTGCGTAATAGCTTACTAAAGACTTAATTGACTTTGATAGGGCAAACTATTTTCTTTTTGCAATTTATCTTAATGTCAAATGTTAAGTTCCAAACTTTCCAAGAAATCCTGTGATTGGAAATTTAAACTATTTACTATGCAAAATGAGCTTAACTAGTTGCAATAGCTCAACTGTTCGATTTTCACTCATTTATCCTCTAAAAGTTTAGCTGTGTTGGTGATTCAGAATTATATATTGATTTGTGTTTCTTTTCTTACGAATTAGTAATACGATACGCAACTAGAATAAATAAATTTCTCTACTCAAACTTTTGTCACCACAGTTAGGTTGAACATATTTTCTAAAGTAAATGAATGATCACCACATACCCTTTGCGACTAGTTTTCGCCCATTCAAAAACTTTGTGAACAGCAGTTACTCCTTCACTGCCCATAGGTGCAATGTCTCCACCAGTCAAAATAGCATAATCCATACCAGAATGCATAGCCAAACTCTATCAATTTAAAGGGAGAGAATAAACACATTTTCAAGATTTTTTCTACACCGGTACAGAAGAACTTTGAGAAAATAACCAGACAATATAAGATTTGAGAAGATTGAACGGTCAATAATCTTAAACACCAAAAGAAAATTTACTACTGAAAAAATTCATCACTAATGTAGTTTTCGAAGACTAAAGAATTCATTCGAAATAGTTGAAAATACGACAGTTAGTGACAGTTAGCGACAAAAATGATCAGACTATGTTCACCATGAAAATCTGATACAGACTAGTAAAGACAACGAATAGAGCGAAATTTTCTTCATTTCAGAAAGGAAATTTGTCAGTTTCATTTGTTTTTTTCTTATCGAAAGGAATTTCCGCTGCACTGATATAAACTAACTAAATAAAAGACTTTCAAGTGAATTTCCTTCCTCAATCAGTCAATCAACAGCAACGTAGAACTTCGTACGTACATCAGTTCCAGTTGCCAACATTAGCACAGAAATGCAATTGTCAATTCAAATCCCATAGTAGAGATGGTAAAGATATTAGCAGTAATCGGAGACATTAGGGTTTAAAAAATGTTATTCAAGAAACAGAATCTATTGATGAATTAAAAAGTCTAGGATTTAAGAGAACACAATGAATGCATCTGCGCCATTGCAAACGGTTTTCAACCATATTATTCAGGATCTCTAAACATCGATTGTTCTCATCTCGCGGACCCCAAACAGGTAGCCTACATCTACCAGCATGACTCAGTTCACTTGTCTGTGACTTCATGGATTTGTGCCATGTTTTGGTTTGGCCGCCTCTAGCTTTCTTCCAACTTACTACTACACTACCAAACATAGCTCGTCGAGACAGTCGGTGGTTGGGGATACGTAACATATGTCCCAACCACATCAACCGATGAAGTTTCACTACTTCATCAATTGATCTGCCATCCGTACCTAGCATCCGTTTCGTAACAACATTGCTTACTCGGTTGTCCCATGATACACGAGCAATGCTTCGGAGACACCTATGATCTGGCTGGCCATGTTTCGCAGCCATAAAGTAGGACGGAGTGAACTACTGCGCGGTTGACTCGACCTTTGGTTAGCAAACGGATATCTCGCCTACACCATAAGTGACGCAAGTTGGCAAAAACCAGTCGAAATTTCTGTATCCGTGCTGAGATTTCGTCAGTCGCCAGGCCTTCAAAGTTCTCAAACAAGGTTTCGTTGAGCAAGGTCCTCAATTAGAAGAATTATGACATCTCATGATGAAAGCCGAGTTCCTTCGGAGGCTGATGCCCGTCCTGACAACTAGGACTTTTCCACGGTATGGGCAGCCAGGAAGTAACATCCGTTTTCATAACCAAAAATGCACACGGGACCAAATTGGTCACAATCCAATCCTTTCTACATCTAATAACTGTTTTATCTCCTCGGCCATCTCTTCCTTCGATCGTTTGCCACTTTGCGCCACTGAAGCAAACGGTTTGAGTTCATGATACATTAGTTTGCAATCGCGCAGGTGCATTCATTCTTTGTTCTCTCAAATCCTAAACTTCTTAGTTCATTATCACTTTAATTTTTTTCTGGGATCAATACTAGGTTTTCCTTCAAAATTCCCCTCTTTAATTTACAGTTATAAAGTGTGACAACTTTGTGCACGAACAAAATATAGTGAACTAAAACTCACCTTTGCAAACATAGTTTTACCGGTACCAGGAGGGCCTGCCATTAAGATATTTCGATAAAAGCCGTTATTCGCTTTTGTATGTCTAGTTGCAATTGCTATTTTTCTCAGGGATGCTTCCAACTCTGGCTGTGATGGAAGTAAATCAACAGAAGACAGAATTATGAAAGAAACTATCGTAAAAACGTTGATTAAGAAGCAAGCGAAATGCAAAGGCTTAATTAAAACAGACAAAGAAACCACATTCATAATAAAGACTTAATGCTTTTATGACAGAGAGATGCGATTTCGAAGAATACTCAGTAGACATTTTAAGCAGATAAGCGCCAACATAAAACTTTGTACATGTGCAGACTGCGTAGCAGGAAAAGATTGTTGATAGAATAATCTCCAGCAGCAGGGAGACAAGTGATTACCAGAATGTATGGATAATTTAAAATCTACAGAAGTCAATCCAGAATTCGATTTCACTAGTTGACAAATGGTTTTATTACATGATGTATACGAAAAACTGGTTTGAGCGATTTAGTTAAAACTGATGGAAACTAGTAATAAAGTCCAAAACAATACACGAAAATAATATGAACAGATAACAAAATTATCATTTGAAGTAGTTAGATTCCAACCGGGTATACTGATTAACGTTAGTACCCACAACATCAGCTTCTACTCCCCTCGATACTAAATTAACTAAACATTTTATAATCGTACAACTACAAAGACAATATGAATAAAATGAGTGATGAAATGAGCACGTTAATCTGAGAAATATATATTACTTATTGAGAACCCAGAATAATCTTTGTCAAGAAAAGTTATCAGGATACAGCAAATGGATGTTTATTTTAGCACGCGTCGCTACTGTGAAATATAATTAGTCAGTTCAATCCGCCAAAAAGCTCTGTAATAATAACTTGACTGCGAAATGGTTTTAGACTTCCTAAAGTCAGGTCAAATTACAAACAGCTTGTGAACTAAGTTTGATGTTCGAAGTACTAGTTAAAAATGGGCGACTTAGTATCTGGCATTGGAAAGCGGAAAATACACCACATTACTGGACTATATATAACTGTTGAATATAATCTAGACACGATAAACATGTAGACTTACTCGCAAAATTATACCTTCCAGTGGATCTGTCGGACGTTGAAAGACCGTTTTGACTGTCTAAAAGTGAATGTAACAATCGAAGACACAAACCTTGACAGGGTGACGACATGTATCCACAATATTTAGTCGGGAAGTTTCACGCACAAGCGCCGGTTTTCCTATACGAGATTCTACAACTTTAGTCAGTGTTCCGATTCCATATTTAGCCCCATATATCCCGCCAGCTAACAATGTTAACGAACCAATGACAGTGGCCACCTTGTCAGGTTCGGAAAGAAAACTGCTGATACCATTACCAATAACCGAGCCAGCGGTAGTTATGGATTCTAAAACCGTTTGGCGATACTCTCGGGCATCAACACGAGCACGTTCCAGGCGCAGCTCACGATTTTCTCGTTCAACCTCGGCTTCGCCTCGTATTTTTGCTTCTATCTGTTTCATCTCATTTTTATGCCGAATATCCGATTCAAATTCAATCGTTGCTGTTTTTATTGTTGATTAATAAATTTATGACTACCTCTACGCATTGCTTCTTGTTTTTGTACAGACTCTTCCTGTTTTTTGAGGTTTTCTGCTTGAGCTTTAGCCTGATTACTAGTAAAGCTATTCAAATAACATACCTGTAAGGCTATTTGATCTTCTTGACGCTTACGAGCTAACATATCTTGATAATCGGCACGCTGCTTCTGTATTTTTGCCTCCTCCTCAAGTGTTTTCCTCCGTTCCTCCTGCTGAGCTCTATATTGCTGTATTTTAATTTGTTCAAGCCCAAGTTCATACTCCTAGGTTATTAATGTACATGACATTTCTTGAGACTGAACATACCTTCATTTTAGATTGATATTCCATCTGTAAAGTTTGTTCATGTTTTTGAGACAGGTCGAAAGCTTCCTTTGCGTGTTCTGAAACAATGGGTTAAACGATGAATACATACTGGATGATTCAAGTTCTCTAGCTGCCTTAGCAGCTCTTTCAAGAGCTGATGAATCAAATCGGTAAGCAGACGCTGTATCTTTAGATTGTTTTTTCTCTTGTAAACCTGTAGGTGGGACCGGCGGTGGCGGAACATCGCTTGGAATATCGAAGTCTTTCGACGTTTGTTTGCTTAGACCAAACAACCACGACATTCCAGCTAACCACGTTGTAACGCTTCAAACCGAAAAACCCTCGCGTGAGTACAGGGTTTCAGATTTTGTACCAGTTGGAAAGACTACCAATATCCAGTATCTTTTTCACGAACTAGTATGAACCAGTTGATTTATTTGTGCTCGATTCGTGTTCTTTCGTTAAAGTTCCAGGTGTTTGGAGGTGTCCGATTGATGAATGAAAGTTTATCTGAAGTTTTATTATTTTCAATATGCTTTTTGCCATAGTTTTTGTGTTCTTTACAACTTGATTAGAAGGATGATTTTTTCGATGTGGGCATTTTCATTTAGTATTTTAGTATTATATGTATAGCAGCAAATCCTGAAAATCAATAGCTGCGTAATTCCTTGATACTTATTTTGGCCTTATAAACTTTACCAAACATAGCATTAGCTGAAAGTACTTTGTTAGGCAACTGCCTCTGATCACGGTGTGCTGCCCTCATATGCGACAACTAATTAGCTCAGATTATACACACTGCGATACATTAGCCTATAGTTCATGTATGGTTTGCTTTCCCATAAACCGCGGCTTCCGCTTTCACTGGGATCCTTATATTATAAGAGATTTTTGATAGAAGCCTAATCAAACCCTTAGTATGTACAACCTGTTCTTCAGAATTTCAAGTTGAATTTAAGTTTCTGGGTGGCGGGAGAGGATTGATGAGAGAATTATTTACATCATAAAATTGTTTTTCAAAGTAGTAAATTACCACCGGGTATCCGTGTTGACTATCTGTATATCACACTAGAGGTAGTCAGTCCCCTAAGAACATATGAGATATCTTGTTACATGGAGTTTCCACAACTTAGTAACTGTAGTCGTCTACATGTGCACTGAGGAAGTAGACTTAGTTTGCATCGGCGGTGATGAGGCAAACAGTGCTATGCTGGCGGTATTTCATTTCTTTTTTATTTGTCATTGACGGTGAAATTTACTTCTACTTTGGAATACCCAAGGAGTGTAAAGTTGAATTACATAATGAGAGCTCACGCAGCCTATTTTAAAGTTCGCGGAAGAATATATTTGGCTGATCTCACCTGTTGTAAGCCAAAATATTAACACCCGACTTAAACCGAGTCCCGCTGTGCTGAACCTACCCCTGTCTCAGAAGACTGATCGCCAGATATTACAACTCGCGAAGATGAAATATAACTAAGATTATTCGACTGCTGAAGACGACAGAGTTGGGGTTTTCCCCGTGCATATTTAATCCGTGTTTTCATTCCCTGAACTAAATATAGTCTTGTTTGGAACGGTCTCATTCCTTTTTTTAACTAGATTATAACATGTGAAGGCTATCAATCAGGCTATGATAAGACATAATCGATGCACATTTGATGCTCAGACTTCGTGCTACTTTAATGAGCTTTAATGGTAACGAAGACTAACATCTGAACGCCCACAGTCATATGTTTTCTAATCACAACTTCTGTAGACTGTCTTTCACTGAACTCAGTAGGACTTCTTTCGATCATGAAAATAGTCTCAGTTTCGCAAAAGCTGAGAGCTGATGTAGACTAGAAAAATAAAATCAAAGAACAAATGACTGAACTCGTAGAAAGGGATAAATGGAGGAAGCCAGAGCTGAATTTCTAGATGGGGGATGTTTTCATTGAGCAACTCATTCATATGACAAATGGATTAGAAAATAAATAGCTCGTTTACAACAACCCGGACTACAAATATTATGATGAAGGGTAAGTCATGAGTATGAAGTGTGCATTATATATGAGTGGAAAGAAAGAACGTCACTAAAGGATTAGTCCGAATACCTACTGAACCAACCGAGTTCAGTATGAGTATTACAGACTTGCTTACTTGCACCTGTCACGCCTGATAAAGCATATAGGTTGACGGACAGCAGTCTTCAACCAATTCTGCCCTGGATTCCCCCTGCTAGCTGTTCCCAACTGTTGTTCACTGCTTCCATGCCCACCTCCAATTCTCGGCAAAGTTTGTTCCTCGATCTATTTCTTTCCTTTAGCCTTCAAGGCTCCGAGGGGGCGCTCGTCTCACGATGCAGTTGGGAGATTTCTTCAGCGCGCTGTCTGCTCTCGATGTCACAGCAGGAATATTGTATGGTCTTTCTGTTTTGCCACTCCTGATTTCCAGCATGCTCCTCATTATTCGTTTGCAATTCTATGTTCCAGTTTATACATTCTACCTTTTGGAAAGAAAATGGTTCAACTGGACTACAATAGCTTTTCAACCAGCACGTTTATGATTTATTTAGCAGAACTCAGATGCACCGTATGTAATACCTACAAATAAAAACGGATTTTTAAAATGAAATTCCGGAAAACAAATTGATCGCTGGTAACTTGATAGAATTACTTTTCAGTGCAGATGAACTTCGTAGTTTGAGGAACTTCAATATACCGGCATCTTCTAGTTACCTCAATTTATACAACGGATATGGAATAAAACTAGAAACTGTCGTCACTTTACTCTGAGGTGTCTAGCATGGCGTCCGAAAGAGACGTAGGGATTCTGCTAGTCAGTATATTGGGTCTAGCATTAGTAGTCAACTTATCAGGTGGGTATTGTCATCGACATGTGCTGACTTGAAACGGCCATTACTTACGGTCTCGATGCTGCCATATCGATCAACCTTCAAGATCTTTTCGTGAAGGGAAAGCACAATTAAAGGATGTTGCGAAGATTTGCGGAGCGAATCTACCCATATGAAAACATGTGAAGAGGCAAATAACTATCTAGAGAGAGCGACCTGTCGATGCTGAATACGAGGGTAGTGATCGGATTTACACAAATATTCGTTGGACTTAGTCTGGTTAACCGACTGCTCCGTGGTGTGAGAAACTTCTCGTGTAGACTCATTATCGTGCCATATACAGGCTCAGTGGCAGAACATTGAATATCTGCCTATACGCTCTCTCTGATACATAAGAGATTTCGTAACAATTATTGTTTTCATGTGCTCTAAGAGCATTACGAGTCGGTGGATCGTGATGTGGTGGATCTCAAATTGGGTTTCGGGTGCTGCGAACCAGACTTCTGGATCGTGCGGTATAAAGGGAAATGGTCGGAGGTCCATAACCTATACCTTAGCGTCTATCATATTATCAGGATTCTTATGGCTATGCACCATTTCGAGACATTGTTGAGAGTGTGATGCACATTAAAAGATATCAATAGAGGAAGGAGATAAAAGATAGGGATAAATAGATCCATCGAAACGGGCTTTCTTCACGAAAAATCGTCAGCTGACCAAATTGTAGTGGTTCGAGCTGATGTTGACTATAAACACTACAACAAACCAATTACGTTCTAGTCTTAATGCGTTAGCCATCATGATCCAAAGACAGGGAAGAAGAGATAGCCCAGATGAAAATTTCGTGGTTTCGAAAGAATACCAAAATCGTGCCGGAGAAGACGAGCGAAAATGTAAAGAGCAGCCGGAACGAGGCGGCAGCCGCGTAACAGGAAACTGTTGTACAAAAGTGCGAATAAACAAGAGGTCTCATTAAACAACTACTGGTACAATTGATTATAATAATGAATGTTTCTATTTAACCAATCACGATTTCTACGTAAGACTAAAGTCACTGCAAATTAATAATAAACTCACCAAAACTGATTTTCCTAGAGAATAAACGGACTAGCCAACTGTAAATGTTCGAGTTGGAAGACTATGAACACGACTTCATATTAGGATATTCATCCAATATCCTGAGATAATTGTTTGTAAATCTAATCCTACTGGTCAATTCCTATTGGTCGTCCTAGCTGTCAGTGTCACAGACTTCAGTGTTGGTTCCTATTCGACCTAAATGTATAAACACGCATTATCTGTAACGTTTTAGGACCCGAATCCCCAAGTCCGGGATCCTGATTGTCCTCTGAACTCAGACCTCTTACTTTCCGGAGGCTTTTAGAATACAGGTTCTACTTCATATCAAGACTTCTTCGTTTACTCAATCGGGGCTTGGGATAATCGGATTAGAGTAGCCTGTCTTGTCGCCGGATCATCGATCATCGCTCTTGTTTTCCGACTAAGGTAAACTCGTAATCAAATGACGTGTTGACGTGCGTTCGTTACACTACAGAACAATTATGTTTGGGTCCCAAGCGTTATCCCAGTTCTTTTATCTGAAAGATGAAGACGGGATAGTCCACATGAAATAAGTGCATTTGCTAGCGAATACTGTAATGTGCCAGGGAATAAGGCGAAGGTACAGAATAGCAAAAGCAAAATGGCAATATCAAAAGAGGAAAAGCTCACCGGTATAACTGGTTATAATAATGAATGTTGTTATTGAACCAATAGTGTTTTTCTTCGTAAAAGTGAAATCACAATACCAAAACCCAGTCAAACCAGAAGTCACAAGTAAAGGAGATCGAAGGTGTATTTGAAGGAAAATTGTGACGTCAATGGTTGAATGATATAAAATTGTTAGTTGATGCGAGACGCCTTGCACAGTGTGCAAAAAAGTGATCTGGTGTGGATGCGTGACCTAACTCCTTCAGTCAGGATGTGTCCAGTAAAACTAATGAGGTTAGCATTGCCGTCACTGACTTAAAAACTATTTATTTTGGAGATTTATTTATTGTTACTAGAGTGTTTAAAATGAAAAAATGCTTTCCTGTCTATATGGTAAACACCTAATCATAAAGGGACTAATTTTGTTAGTATTAGACACAAATTACAAATAATTCAATAGCCAGACTGATTCGAAAGTTTATTCCGTTTGGTTGTGTTATAACTGATTCAGGTACTATGTTATAAAATATAATGTTAGTGATCAACCTTGCTGGTAGTTGTTATGAAGTATTGACCAGTAGTAAATTTATTCATATTATGGAATATAAAAAACATTGACCTATTTAGCTTGAAAATATTTCAAATGTATAAGGTAAACAAACAGAAAAAAATAAAGCTTAACAAGTTTAACAAGGGAATAAAGCCAAATCACTTAGTTAACATGGACACACAACTTCGTCTTCATGTTACATATATTAGGTGTGCAATGAATTGGTGTAAACGCTAACTAACTTATGCATATGTATACATTAAGATTGGCATACATACAAATAGTATTAGTTAGATGGTTCAATCAGGTCCTTTCGATTGGTTATCTACCTGTTTTTCTTTCTATAATAGCATACATTCATTACTTATACAACATGTAAAAATATGGATAAACTTAATAATGAGTTATAGATACTATGTTTCAATTAAAGCAGCCTTAATTATTGGGAATATAATTTGAACAATAAAAAGTATAATTGCATTAAAGTACTTTTTCAAGGGCTTAACAACAAATAAGGATTTAATTTTAACTCCTTGCCTAATATTGCACATTATTCATTATGTATTAATAGTATCAATATATAAATTATAGCAACTAACTAAATCCTTTTGAGTGAAATTCCAAGCGAAACAACGTAAGTTTTCTATGTATAGTATAATTTATTTTGTATAATTTTATCTTTATTCATCATTATTATGTTTTCATGTAAAATGAACTAAAAGTAATCTGCTGATATTCTGAACAAAATAAGTTTTCCAGTGATTCAGAAGTTTCACCTACTCTGATTGACTATTGGAAATGATGAATGATTCAATCATTCTTAATAAGTGTTCAGTCGAAATTCATTCAGTGAGGCATATTATTCATAATTATCATTACTACTTCACTTAGTATTGAACAAATATATAAGTGAAACTTTGTCTACTACTCTTGAGTAATTTTGTGAATTTGGACAAAGTTCTCAATCGCATATTAATTTAACACATATCTAATTAGTTGACCCGAATTTTCCAATTCGATCATCGGGAACCATGGAAAATTATTGATATAAAAGGTAATCCTAATCATTAATAAATAAGTAAATCCTTATTTTAATGCAGTTCGTAAAGTATACATTTATCTTCATATTACAGTATTTATCAGCTTCTAAAACTTTTGGCATCCAGTATAAACCATGATGGTTTCGCTGGTTTCATTACAATGGTACTTCAGCCTCTACTTAGGACGTGCTGATCATCTAATTAGGGTATCTGATGAGCTTCTTCTTGGATAGTGATTGGACGAAGTATCCGCAGTTTTTATTTCAGCTTCTCAAGCCTTTATTGAGGAATACTCAAGAAATCGTTTATTAAATTCAATTTTAACGGATTAAAAAGTCTATCCACCTTAATAATCAATGAAATAAGCATAAAACCTTTTGGGGTTTAATTTTATGTTTTTGTACCTGTGTTTGTAATTAATTGTAAAGATCTCTTTGTGAATGTGTTTTGTGTGTCTATCCTTTTATCGTACTCGGAAATCCAAAATAGTTATTCTGACTCTTTCAATTTTATATTCGGTTGAATGCTTAGTCTAAGATGAGACTTATCACTTATCTAAACTACAATCTTGGTTTCCACAACATTTAATCTAATTTTTACTTGACATCCAGTCTTCGCAGCTACTTTGTTCTGTGTTCTTTTTTCGTTAACAAGTGGACAAATGTTAGTGAAATAATATTATATGGTAATTGTCAACAGGTGTCATGAAACAGTTTCAATATTTATATCAAAATACTTAACATTGGAAATATGAAACAATACATTAGTAAAATAAGAAGAGTGCTAAAGACGAAATTCTAGAGGAAATATTCCTGATAATTTCAAGATATAGTTGAAAAGCCGGATTTAACCAAACTTCTTTTACGTTTTTGTCAGTAATCATTTACACGATACATCACGTGTAACATTTCTTTCTCAACAAAACAACCGTTGCTTTTCATTTGGATTTTATCTGATTCACTTAATTCTTTTGTTATTCAACAACCAGATGTGAAAAATATTTTAATATTAAGAGGTAATTATAAATTTAAATAAGACTTATTTTGAAAAGAGTTTCATTACAGACTGAAGAACTAATGAAAACTCAACGATATTAAACATCTGTTTTATGTTTGTTTTAGGCGCATAAGCAATAAGTACCTACAACTATGGATTGGATTTAAAATAAGACTAGATTTTACTTTAAATGTGAACGATTGGAATTCGATTCATTGGTAGATATATGAGGTTTCTGGGTTTTTCTCTGTTTATATTAATGAATAGACTCTAGCGTGGTATTTTGATTCAGAATGAATCAACCTTGTAAAGTTTCATGATTTTTAATGATTCATGAAGTATTAGACCACAATAAAAACTTTATCTAAATTGAAGCAATATTTATCAATCATCTTACGAAAACTTATTTTTCAACGAATTTATAAATATAAATTTCAGCCAACTTTCTTTGTATTTAGATGTGATTTAACAGTACTTGAAGCCTGATCTAGAAATTTCTACAACGTATCAAAAAACCAGAGAGAATGCGTTTTTATTCTTAGTGAATACCTTTATTTTACCGTTTATCTTAACAACTTTCATTTTTTCAACGAAATAAATCAGTATGGATCCTATGGAGGAAAATCAATATTGGAAAACACATTCTTTTACACCAGTGTATATACATATATATATTGCTCCTTTGCTTTTGCCAAAGGTTTGTGTATATAAGCTTCCGTTGAATAAAAGCCTTTTTGTGATCACTAAGAACATACTGATTTTTCGGTTATCTAATTTAGGCAAAATATTGATTTAGTGAAGGTAATTGTTTTCGCATAAATAATCATCACTGAAGCATTGAGATAGTTTCATCAGAAGTAGTACTATGTTTTAGGGATGTTGTAGAGTGATACAATCCATACACGAACGAAATTTTATTACTTACTTTCCATTTAAACTTAACTGTTGGGGACGTTAGATGCCCAGAGCTCGCTTGATACATGCCTTATTTTGGATTTCACGTTTGCGAGCAAGGGCTGATCAGCTGACCTTGAGATTTCATTTCCGACCAGTAAAATCCTTGGCTGTGATTGGCTGCTGTGTATTTTGGTGTGCTATTTTTGTGACTGTCCCAAGGACGTTTCTATGATGTATAAATAAACGAGATATGTGTGCTTGATTGCATTGTGCTCGCTGGGTGTTTCTAGAATATACTTCCTACGTTACATCAAGACTTTTCATCAGTCAGCGGATCAGGGTAGCCTACCTGGACTCTGGTTCGTATTTATCGACTAAGGTGAACCCGTAATAGTTTCAAACATACCTAGTGACGAACCTAACAAGTGGCGACGGGGATAGGATGAGCTGAGTGTAGCAGAGGCAGATTTATTCTGACTAGGTAGCCGCTGTACTAAATGCACTTCAAATCGGCCTGACCCACCACTCTGCAATATAGTTGTGTCTCGTTGTAGATTAGTGAGACCTTGGTACTAATTAGCCATGTCACAAAGAGTGAGCTTCGGATCTTGCTCTAATCGACATAGTAGCCTTGTTCTAATATCACTGGACTTATGAGACTGGAGGCTGCAGATGAGTATGAGAACTTTAAAGTGGTCTTCAGACAAAGACTTCAACCGGAAGCGTTCGCATTCACGGTTGACGATGCACACATGCGTAAGAAAATCATCGTCTTCGTTCATAACTAGCTTCAAACATCGATAACGAGCATTAAAAAGTGACGAGTTGTCTCCAAAGTGTTGGCTCAGTGTCTGATTCAAAGGCAGGATCAAATTGCAGTATTTGTCCAGCTCACCTGCACCCAACTTTCGAAGTAGCAGCCGAACCTTTCAAGCATCATCTTTATTGTCGAAATCAAATTTAAATAAATCTTCATAACGCCGGAACCACATGTCAAAAGTAACATTGGCACCGGGATCATAATGAAATTCAGCTATGCTATTTGCGATGCCGTCGACCGATGGAGCTGCGGTTGCATTAGATGAGCTGGGCTGTGTGGAAGGGGAAATCTTCATGTCTGTCAACATCTGCATCAGTTCCAGCTGCTGCTCAAGTAATAATTCAAGTTTGGGTGGATCCATGTTTCCAAAACTACCGTCGCTACTTGTTAGATTCGTTACTAGGTATGCTTGAAACTATAACGGGTTCACCAGATTGCAGTAAAATGAATTCTACAACTAGTCTTGATTAACAGGTTCCATGATTTATTATCTGATTAAATTCGAATAGTTAAGATTTTGTTATCTATTTTTGAATTCTTTCCACATATATTTAATGCTTCTTTGCACAAACTAGTAACAAGAAGCTATTCTTCTCTGAAACTTTCTGACCAAGAGAGATATTACCAAAAATAATCTAAATTTTGGAACTGTTATCTTGTAATTATTTCGCCATCTAACATTTTACTATAAAATGAAACATTTAGCACATCGAGTGCTAGTATAATATAATTTTTATTTACAAAAATTATAGTTAAAAATGTTTATTAATATAGAATGAATAGAAATATCACAATTTAAGATTATTAACATTTACTTTACAACGTAAATTACCGTAAGTTTATGTGTCTGCTTTTCGCAATTGACTCCTAATGCAAAATTATAACGATGAAAGTATTCAGGATTTTGTTGTTTTTTTTCTTATTGGTAACTAAAGATAAAATAATGAAGAAAAAAAGTCTTTAAGTTGACCATAAATGTTAGATGAACAGCGAACTCGAATATACTTACATGTAAGCTTTTAGATCAGACAGTTTAACTGAGTAAAAAGGAGTTACCTGATGTACTTACGAAAGTTATACTAAGAAATTCATTAACACCTAACCAGACTATGAAAATCTGTTGGTGAAAAAGCCGACTAAGAAATGAAAAGAGAGCTTTGTTATAATACTATGCATGAGTCATTTTGTACTCTTATGGTGATGAGTCCCATACCAGGACTAAACAACCACCGAATGTTTCCTATTTTATAATGGTAGTCTAACAATGAATGATTCATTATCTAAATGTAAAACAACAATCTCCATAATACTACAATACAAAATTAATTACGTTCATTAAAATAGCTATGTTCACAATGCAGATGGAGTCAAATTTGAATTTCCCCATTGTAGATAATGAATTCGCACTTGTTAGGGAGTTGATGAATTGTTCTGAATTTTCTAGTCTGCGCATAACCAATGTGTGATGAAAACTACAAAATAAAAATGTTACTAACAAGTAAAATGTTTAAAACGTTATATATGATCTTATTAAATGTATTTTTAAATTTTCGAAGGTAGTTAATCAAACTTCTAAAGGCCTCAGTTGCATGCCATTTAGAGTAGCTCCAAAAATATTACCGATGTACATACGTTCTAGTAATGCAAGTGTAATCTTGTTTTGTCAGTGTGACTAACATCTAAACATTTTCATACGTTATAAACTTAACAAATCTATAAATAACGCTTTGGGTAAAAATTTATAACTACTTCAATGCCTAATGGTGCACTGACTACTAGAACTTAGTAAACATTAATTTGAACAGATTCAATTACAATATCTTATTACAAGATATTTTTCAATCTTCAAAGTTGCATATACAATTGAAAACAGGCAATACA